AAAAATAACATTAAATTTAAAGGTCACGTGGTGTGTGTAAAAGTCGATCGATCATTCTGTAAAGATGGCGTGGTGTGTTCAGGCAGAGTTTTTAATTAAACTCATAAAAGACAGAAGTATTACGGGAATACTGGATTCTAAACAACAAAGAAATGCCACAATTTAAGCAGATATGAGAGATATGAGCCGCTCACAGTATAAGGGGTTTTCTTTGCCATTAAAGGGATAGTTCACCCCAAAATGAAAATTATGTCAGTAATTACTCGCCCTCGTGTTGTTTCAACCCCGTAAGACTTTCGTTCATCTTTGTAATAAAGATGAACGAAATTTTTTTAAACTTCACTTTAAAAAAAAAACTAACTTTTGCTGATAATTTTGTCATCCAAGATGTCCATGTCATTCTTTCTTCAGTCGAAAAGAAATTAAGGTTTTTGATGAAAACATTCCAGGATTTTTCTCCATATAATGGACTTCAATGGGAACCAAACGGTTCAAGGTCCAAATGAGAGTTTCAATGCAGCTTCAAAGGGCTTTAAACGACACCAGACGATGAATAAAGGTCTTATCTAGCGAAACGATCGCTCATTTAATAAATAAATAACAAAGTTTAAGTTTTATAAGCACAAATGCTCGCCTTCTGTGATGCGTGTTCATGAATCTCCTGTTCGAAACGAACAAATCTTTTTTCGTGTCATTTGGTTCATTCAACGAACGAAATGAACGAGTTGACTCTGGAAAAGATTTGTTCAGAACGAGTTCGAATAAGAGAGTCACAAACGCGCATCACAGAACAGAGCAAGGCGAACATTTGCGCTTATAAAACTTAAACTTTTTTTATTAAATAAGCGATCGTTTCGCTTGATAAGACCCTTATTTATCGTCTGGAATCCTTTAAAGCCCTTTGAACATTTTGCAGTTTGCACTGAAACTCTCATTTGGACCTTGAACCGTTTGGTCCCCATTGAAGTCCATTATATGGAAAAAATCCTGGAATTTTTTCATCAAAAACCTTAATTTCTTTTCGACTGAAGAAAAAAATGACATGGACATCTTGGATGACATGCGGGTGAGTAAATTATCAGAAAAAGTTTTTTTTAAAAGTGAACTACTCCTTTAACTTTATTTTTCCCTTTCAAAGTGATTTCAATCATATTTCCACCAACTCAAATCCATTATGTTGAACAGTTCGCATCTGGAGTGTTTCAGCCGAAGGAAATAATCCATCATTTAAAGGCTTTAGAATATCAGAATCAGGTCATTAACGATAAATTTAAAAATTAACATATCGGCCGATACATAGTGTGCATCCCTAAAATTTTACAATGATGTGATTGATTGGTTGGTTTGTTTCATTGATAATAGCTCTTAACAAAAACTTTGGTAAAAATACTTCTAGAACCAAGGCAAAATAAAATGATAAAGTGGGTGAGCACTGTCAAACTCTATAAAAGTAGTTCATTCAATTCAAACACAATATTCCAAGTCTTTTAAAGCAATTTGTTAGCTCTGTGCGAGAAATAGACTCACTGAAAATCTTCCCCTTCATCATAGCCAAACCTATCAGAAGTCACATCACAGTGCTTGTATATTTCTTTTTTGAATGTAAATGATGACAAAATTGATGTTCCGGGTGAACTATTGCTTTTAATGAAAACAGATCCCAATACACCAATACTGGCACTGATATAATGATCCTGAGACTCATCTGTGAGAGTTTGCGGCGTCAGCAACAGTTAATGAACACTTCTTGGATGTCTCACACTAAGTGAACCAAGTCAAATTGATTTACAAATGTTATTCACTCTACGCTGAGTCATCTGGACAGGTCTACTAGACCGCACAGAAGAACTGAAGCATATATGAGCCGCAGTAAAACTCATTGTTCACTTTAACTATAATTATGCATGGAGACACTCCTAAAGGTCAGCATTGTTACTGTGATGAATGATATAGCCTATGCTTCAGTAGAGGAGCGCTTCGGATAATGCTTGCACAGTTTATTTTACCGGTGTAATATTACAGGTGTTATTATGTGCCGTCTCGAATAGTACTTGGTGGCGAAATACAAAGCAGAATCTCAAATCAAGTTACACCGGCACAGAAACCATATAAAAAGCAGGAATGGGAACATGTCACCAACAGTTATTGTAATTCCTGCATCTGAACTAATAATTAAGCAAATAGTTTCAGTCCTTTTGTAACATAAGATTGATTCATTCAAAGAAAGCACTGCATGTGTGAACAAGCTCCGAAGTTACATTAGTATGACTTATAAATGATTTGACGGTAAAACTATGGATTGATGGAGTCAATGGAGACCCCAATTTTATTTTGGAAAACAATGTACAACAAAATATCACGTTTGTGATGTATAATTAATGATTCGGCTCTATTTGTAGGTTACTAATCAAATGCAAACTAGTGACATTGATCATGTGACTCTTTGTATGGACGCTCAGCATCTCAAATCATGCTGGAGAATATGATCATCAGGTTTTGTTCATGTCATAATTTAACTGTAATGAAAATGTTAGTATTTAATTACAAAAGAACGTTTTATCATATTAATGTATGGTGGTATTAACACGGCGCTGCAACCCCACACAAAAACAGTATTATATAGGATGTAAATCATTATGTACACAATATTCAGAATTATTTTCAATGTCAGATTTCTGCTTTAAGTTTGGTCCCCTCAATCTTAAAAATTTGGTTACATCCTTGGTATGTTCCTGTAGTATCGCTTCAAGTGGCATGAAATACATAATTATCACTTAAATTAAACACCAGACAAATATTTGCTCAACATTTACTCAAACCAGTCACTTAAAGCTGCAGTCTGTAGTTTTTCCTCTTTGGCGCCATCACTGTTCGAAATCTGCAATTGCAGTTACTTGCGGAAATTATCAACTTTACGTGGGTTGTGCCTCGGCACGGCACAGCGTGGATGAACACAATGTTTTTGAGGAGAATGTCATTCGCGATCACATATTCTACTTTTTGGAAGTATGACCAACATAAGAATTTATCGTAAAATGTCTGAACAAGTAAGAAACATCCACTTTTGTTCTGACCAACTACTTTGTTCTCACATTGTTAATGTTAACACCATCAGCATTGCGTGACTACATTTAATGCCCTTCTGATATTATTCGTGTTTTCGCATGGGCCGGTTGCAGCACTGTAAAAAAAATATTTTCAAGATTTGTTATCACAACATATTTTCTTTTGTCAAATCAACTTTATAATAATTTACTTAGTTGAGATAACTTATTATTTTGAGTTTCTTATGATTAAATGAATCTCCTTCATTGTATTAACTCACTTTTTCCAGTTCAATCAACTTAAAATTTTAAGGCAACCCAGGTTAATTACTTTTTTAAGTTAAACCAACAATTTTTTTTACAGTGTAGTAATCACAACATTTTTTCTTTTGTCAAATCAACTTAAATAATTTATTTAGTTCAGATAACATATAATTTTGAGTTTCTGATGATTACATCATTCTCCTTCATTGTATTAACTCACTTTTCCAGTCCAATGAACTTAAAATTTTAAGGCAACCAGGTTACTTACTTTTTTAAGTTAAACCATCAATATTTTTTACAGTGACTCTCTTTTTTTCTGTAGCAACTCCGAACGAAGTCTTTTGCATTTTACAGCGGGTCTGTGAGCGGGTCGTTTGAACCTTTCGGGATCCGCCATCAAATTGATAAGTTTAATAATTATATCAAGTGCTGTGAGAAAATGCTATAAATATTACCCTCCAACATCCTCACACGCAATATAGCCTACTAGCCGAGACTCTTCTTTACGTGTACCAGGGGCGTAGCCAGAATTTAATTTTTGGGGGGTCCCGTCTTTAATTGAGGGGGCAACATTATTTATATATACTGTATATCAAGTTGATCTTTCCGTGCTTTTTTAAAAAAGTGTAATATTGTACTTTGAGTTTGAGCGCCTGCCATTGTCACGCATATTAACTCTCACGCAAAGATGAAGATGACAGCGTACGTTATGCGCAACACGTTATATAAACAAATAAAGTTTGAAAATAAGCTGCATTTTACCGCGCAGCATTTTGATTGGTCAATCTATCAATCCTAATAAAACAACTTTTTTTTTTTTTTTTAAGCAATCAGAAATCTGAGGGGACCGGACATGTAAATGAGGGGGCCTAGGCCCACCCAGGCCCCCTCGTGGCTACGCCACTGACGTGTACAGATGCACAGATGTGACGTAATGATGCAAAGACGTGCTCGAATCCCCCGCGGAAATCCACCAGTACCACTAGAATTAAAAACAATATTACAATCTTACCGTTTTGAATCGAGCTGAGACAAGCAGAGAGTTTTGAACACTGGTTGGACATTGCTCAAATTTATTTTGGATAATATTTCACCCCAAAAAAAGTTACAGAATGCAGCTTTAAATAAAGGTAAATTAGAAAGATAAAGTCGTAAGCTCGTAAAAAAGAAAAGAATGTATTAGTCAGTGACATGACACTTATTTGTTTTGTCATATTGTCTATTTAAACAATGCATTTAAAATGCAATTCATACAAAATAATTGTTCTACGATGAATGGTTTTAATTTCTGAAAGCAATGTCATAATCTATTTTTGACCTTTCCATTAAAAAAGGAATATTTTTTCAGGTCAAATTGAGTAGCCATGAGAATTTGCAATACACAGACTTTATTTATCCTTTAAAGATTTGGAGTGTGGGAAAGGGTGTGAACTTTAAAAAAATGAATGAAACCAAGATATTATCCTATATTAAGAACAGGGCATATTATATTAACAACTGGGACTTTTTATATCAGACAATGGTCATAGTCACTGACCCAGATATAATGTGTTGTGTGAGGTGTGCTTGTATCCTATCCTATAGGAATAAAAAGAAGTTGAAGGTTGCAGGTGAACTTCGGTGTACTCAGGCTGGATTTCACAATCATCGGCTTAGAACAGAAATGCATTTGTAATAAAAGACCCGACTTACCCACGAGCACACACACAACATCCATCAGCACAATAAACAGCTTGTTCTTCTTCAGCTCTGACATGACTGTGATCTGTTGAGCTCTTCTGGGCTTTATGGAAACTGAAGCGACTCGTATGATATTCGATGCGCGCGTTCTTCCGGGTGTTCTGTGTCACCTGCGTTAAAGGTGAGCTGATGATGTAACGCGTCCTCCCTCACGCTGGCAAATTTCACGGACGCGAGTTTCACGCGAGTGAACAAAACGCTTGAAAAGTGAAGACTGAACCACAAACTGTTGAACTGACTTTACTCTCCCAGGTACACGCCCACTGCTGACGTCAATCGGTGTTCTCACACACACACACTGGAGTCGTCGAAGAGTGAAATATAATAGAAAGATTAACTCGTTCAGACTAGTGTAGCTAGTGTAACGGTGTGTAGGCGCACACAAATATAGCCTTGATAATATTTCTTGTGTCATAGGCTACTTCAACAATTACTAGCGCGATGATTAATAATTTGTAAATAAAGTGGTAAATTGTGTTTTCCAAACAAATAAGGATACAAGCCTACTTTAAAGGCAGGGTAGGCTTTTTACGCAAGTCTCTTCACACCCTGATAGCAAACGTGGTCTAAATGTATGTCAACATATTTCCATTAATCCACGCACCTGCTCATAAATATCACACATCATCAGCGTGTTTTTGGTTTCATGATCAGATTTAGACAGACGTCATCTCCGAGCGCCAAAACAGCAGCAACTTTTACAGTTCCTCGATCCTGAACCAAAACAACCAGCTTAACGTATGCTGCATTCACGCCATAACTGTCATTTGCAGATTGGAAACCTGTGATTATGAGCGCTTTATGATTCAAATTTATGTGTTTCAGTGGCAACACACTATCCTCCAGCAGTCTGCGTTCTTTAAGTTGTTTATGTTCGTTATTATTATTGTACTGTTATGTGCTTTGAGACATGAGGTACACACCGTCTCTCGTGATTCTTTTGTGTACTACTCACTGCTGTTTGTGTTCATGTGTTTTGAAACTTTTGAAGGAGTAGTGGATTTGAAGATGCTCTGAAGGGAGGGTGGGATATCATGCTTTCAAAGCTAGCTCGCTATTGCTAGCCTCAGAAAATCTTTAACCTCTCGAGCTTGAAAGTGGTAGTTGCGTAGGCGGTCAATGGAGGGACTAAAAGCTCTCAGATTTAATTAAAAAGATCTTAATTTGACGAAGCAACACAAGGGCTTTTGTTTGCGTGGAAACCACAAATTACCACTTTATTTACACAATATTAATCTCCAATGGACATTCACGAGAGCACCACGATGCATGCGTGTTTTGTTGTGTTAACGCGAGAGCAGATGTCGGAGATTAATATTTTGTGGTAAATTATGTTTTTTTTGTGCTAACAAAACAGCTACATAAAATTGAGGTTACACCACTGCAGTCACATGGATCACTTTAATGATGTCTTTACTACCTTTCTGGGACTTGAAAGTGGTAGTTGCATAGCAATGGAGGGACTGAAAGCTCTCAGCTTTCAATCAAATGATCTTCATTTGTGTTCCGAAGATTAACGAAGGTCTTTCGGGTTTGGAAAGACATGAGGGTGAGTAGTCTAATTAATGACAGAATTTTCATTGTTGGGTGAACTATCCCTTTAACAGTATCCAGTCTAATAATAGCATCATTTGAATGTAGTTTATGATTTATAGTATTTTTTTTCTTCTGTTAATTGCATTGTATATGTTTAACCCCAATTTATTTTACATACCATGGATGCCTTTCACAGCAGCTCGCACTGCTTTTTTTGCCTCCTGGGTAGTTATTTATGCTACTTCAACTGGAAAAGATGTGCAAACTTGTCTCACTATTAAGTAAATGAACCCTAATAATCACTACACCCTTTTGTGGGAAGTTAAATACAAAAAACCCAAAGTTAACAAAATGTCTACACAGAGAGAAAAAGCTAACATGCACTTTTTTACTTTTTAATTTCTCCATACATGAAAGATCTACACAGAGCAGTCAAAGTGCAAAGGAAATAGCTATGATCAATCACCACACCCAAGAAATATCAATAAATATAACCAAAGTCCAACGTATGCTGACATTTCCAAGTGCTCAACACATGTATAGTCTATGTATATGCACATATTTCCTCAAATATTAACCTTAGTGACTTGAGATAAGAATAACGCAAGGTGATTTTCTGTTCAATTTATAAGTGAAATAACAATGAAATGTGCTTTATCAGAATATTTACATACCTAGCCTTGAGAACATTACTACAGGAATGACAAATTGTGTGCTAAGCATTAATCCATCCCTTTTTGAGCCACATTCGAAGGCTGACAAATTCCCGAAGGACTAGTGGAATGCAAGGAGTGTGTTAGCGCAGTTCTGGCATGTCAACGTGAATATCCATCTATTGTCAACAATAACACATTTCTTCCACAATAAATATTGCTGCACCAGCTCTGGCACACGGCCGATCTGCGCTCTTGTCACCGAAGATCAGCTCTGTGGAGCCGGATGCATGTGTGACACTGCCCTGGCCCGTCTGTCCAAACAAAGAGGGACTTTGTCGGGAATTCCAGTCGCAGGAAAGATGGACCAGCGGTGGTGAACTCTGGCCTAAAGCCACAACATTCCCAACAAAATGTTCCCAATGCTCGCCTAGCGACTCTCTCGCTGTCTTTTCCCTCTTCCGTAGTCTGGTTTATCTTCAGATACAGCTCACAAAAATGAACTTTTAACATTATTTTACAAGGGAATTGCATAATTATATTCATTAGGTACACCTGTTCAACTTTTCATTAACACAAATCAGCCAATCACATGGCAGGAACTTAATACATTTAGACATGGTCAAGATGAAGATCAAACTAAGCATCAGAATGAGGAAGAAAGGTGATTTTAAGTGTCTTTGAATGTGGCCTGGTTGTTGGTGCCAGACAGTAAGGCTGCATTTACACTGCAGGTCTTGATGCCCAAATCCGATTTTCTGACTGTATCCGATTTTTTTGACGATCTGCTTACATCATCTTTTACACTCTAAAAAATGCTGGGTTGTTTTAACCCAATTTGGGTAAAATATGGACAAACCCATGCAGCCATTGGGTTAAAAATGTCATTTAAAAATGTCACCCAATGGCTGGGTTTGTCCATATTTTACCCAAATTGGGTTAAAACAACCCAGCATTTTTTAGAGTGTAAAAGTGACCCATATCTGATTTTTGCATTTACACTTGAAACTACCAAATGCAGATGTTCTGATGGTTCTGAACCGGGAAATTAAGCAAAACAGCACGAAATTCAATGGATGCAGATGCGAATAAAATTATCCAGTGTTTTCTTTCCACAATATTTCAATAAGTCATCAAAACATTGGTCTCGTAGCCTACGGCGGAGAAAAAAAGAGGAGAGGCTCTGGCCATGAGCACTTAAAACGATGCCTCATATCTCGTGAAATGTCTTCAAAAACGGATTTATTTCTGTAACAACCCTGCATTTTTGCTACTACTTCACCCCAAACACTCAAAAGACATGAAACCTCCGCATTGCTCCACTGTGTGTATCCTTTCTTCCATCGCGCCTATAATCGCGCAGTTTTAAATGACGCATGACTCGCGTTTACTGGGGAATATCCGAATTGTCTGCTTACATGGCACACGCAAATGCACGTATCTGATTCATATCTGATTTATTACCACATATGAATGCCTGAATCCGATCTGAGAAAAACGGAATCCATGCGTTTTTTTCCTGCTTACACGTTCACCGGTCATATCCGATCTGTGCCACATGAGAGGAAAAAATCGGATTTGGGTCACTTGAAACATGCAGTGTAAACGAGGCTTATGAGAATGATCTGAAAAAGAGAGAATATCTGGTTCGAGCAGAAAGAAAGGCAACAGTAGCTCAAATAACCACAAATTACAACCAACCGAGGTCTGCAGAAACTACAACATCTGAACACACAACTAATCCAACTTTGAAGCAGAAGACACACCGGTGCCACTCCTGTCAGCTGAGAACAGCAAACAGGCTACAATTCACACGGGCTCACCAAATTTTGTACAATAAGACTGGAAAAACATTTCCTGGTCTCGATGTGTTTCTTGGCACATTCTAGGCCTTTAGTATAACATGTCATATCACAAAACTCACATCATATCAAATATCCATCTGCCCTGTACAGTGAAAACCGGGATTTATCCGTGAAGAGAACACCTCTCCAATGTGCCAGCTGCCATCGAATGTAAGCATTTGATACTCGAGTCGGTTACGACGACGAACCCATTCTCGGCCCATTCTCCTCTGACCTCTAGCATCAACAAGGCATTTTGGCCCACAGGACTGCCGATACTGGATGTTTTTCCCTTTTCACACCATTCTTTGTAAACCCTAGAAATGGTTGTGTGTGAAAATCCAACCCGATCTCACGGCCAAGTCGTACGAATTCGACGAATGATTAAAAAGTGGCTAAAACGTAACAATTCATACCTCACTCGTACGAATTAGTACGATTTTGCTAAATGAATGAATTCATGCGAATGACCTACCCCTTACTCCGCCCCTAAACCTTCTTAACCTTTATTTAACTAGGAAAGTCACATTGAGGTTAAAACCGCTTTTACAAGTGAGACCTAGTCAAGACAGGGTCGGATACCAGGATTAAACAAATTACAGCAACAACAAAAAAACGCAACAAACAAATCTCCATGACAACATATTACAACACCATGACACAGCACAAACTACAAACATTTAGGTACTGCACAATGCCCTACATAATACTATTCACAGAAACAAACAGTATTAAATCATAGGTTGATAAAAAGTTAAGTCGTAATAGAATTGGCATAGCAAGAGCAATTAATAGTGACCACCTCCTGTATTCTATGTTTAAAATCATTTAGAGAAATGTAGGATTGTAGTTTCAGTTTGGTCTGCAAATCGTTCCAAGACCAAGGGCCATAATAGAACAGGCTTAGCTTTCCAGCCTCTGTTCTGATTTAAACTGAAGCCAATTATGTGACCTGAGATTATGAAGGCTTTGAAGTGATAAAAATTTCCTTTTTAAATAAATTGGAAGTTTTCCTAAAATTACCTTATAAATTAAAATATACCAGTGTTCGAGCCTGCGCAAATGAAGAGATGACCATCCCACCTGTACCTAACCATCACGTGGGTTTAGACAAATCGTACAAATTCGTACGAGTGAGGTCGTACGAATTAGACACTTTTTAATCATTCGTCGAATTCGTACGAATTGGTCGTGAGATAGTGTTGGAAAATCTCAGATTGGCCCGTCTGGCACCAACAACCATGCCACGCTCAAAATTGCTTAAATCACCTTTCTTTCCCATTATGACATTCAGTTTGGAGTTCAGGGGATTGAATTGACCAGGACCACACCCCTAAATGCATTGAAGCAACTGCCAACTGTGATTGGTTGAATTGACAATTGCATTAATGAGAAATGGAACAGGTGTTCCAAATAATCCTTTAGGTGAGTGTATAAATACATACAGTAGTTCAGATCAGGTGGGTTGTGTTGTTTTTCTTAGCTTAACAGGTTACCAGTACATCTGGTTAGGCTTTTACGTTCATATATATGGCTAATGACACAAATGGTAATTTGTAAAAAGACTTAAGATTAGCTCTAGTTTATTTCTAGACTAGTTAGATCCAGTTTTGTTAGTCTTGTAGTTGTTTGGATTGTTCTGCCTGATATTGAAAATCCGTTACAATTGAGTTCCGTCTTATATCCAAAACTAGTTCGAATTTAGTTTTGTCTGATATCCAAAACCAATAAACACTGAGTTTATCCCCCCAAAATCTGTCCTGTCTGATACATATACACAGTATATATATATATATATATATATATATATGAAGAGTTCAGATGCAAAAGCCTCTAAATGCCATTTGAAATTTTCTTCTTTAATGATGATTTTTATCAAACTTGTATATTTAAGTTCAGTAATTTCACTTAAATAACAATTAATAGGTAATTATCATTGCCATTTAAGTGAAATCACTGATCTTAAATATACAAGCTTGATAAAAATGATCATTCTAGAAGAAAATTTCAAATGGCACTTAGAGGCTTTTGCATCTGAACTCTTCATATATACTGTATATATATATATATATATAAACAGTTATTGAGTTAAGTTTGATTTCCAAAACCAGATAGATTTGAGTTCCGACTTATAATCAGTTATAAATTAGTTTTGTCTGGTATCCAATACCAGTTCGAGTTTGTCAAACGTCCAATAGTCTAATATCCAAAACCTGTTTAGTTGGATTTCTAAAACCAGTTCGAATTGAGTTCGAATTCCAGTTAGAATTTAGTTTTGTTTGATATCCAAAACCAGTAAACAATGTATTTTGTCTGATATCCAAAAACAGTCACAAACTAACACATCTAATCAGGCAAAAGGCCAGATGAAGGCAGGACGACAGGCTTAATGCAAGGAGCAGTGCTAGTTAAGACCATCAGAAAAACACAATGCACAATAATAAACAGGAAAATTTGGACCCTCAAGTTAACCAGGTCTGTATAATTCCAAGATGTGTCGGTGATGTGGGAAAGTGATGTCCCATCTGGGACTGTTTGTCCTTGACTATGTCAACAGAAAAAAACACTAATTACAAAATGTAACAGTAAACCAAATCTCACAGAGATGATAAAAAAAAATGAGCAAAACAATATGCACAGTTTTAATAAAATATTTTAATGCGACAGAAGCAATTTTCCCACCTGGCACATTTTTTTCCATGCAGTTTGTAACTGGTATCAGTGGTTTGTGCATCTTTTTCTTTCTTGAGATCAAAGTGGTTTAGTGAGAGGTATCGCATGTGGAAATGACTAGACCTTGACTTCGACGAGATCTGACGGGAGGATAAGCAGTTCCTGCTAGGTCAACAGTGAGCAGTCCCAATCTCTTGAACCGTCTGTAAATCCACCGCCATTATAATGAACTGAGGCTGTCTACACCAGACAGTTTCTATTGCATCTGGCTTTATGTCCCAACCAGCCTTACTCAGCCTGTGTATATATCTGTCCATCAGAATGCACACAAAGATGGTGTTTGATATGAGGGCACATGTTTTGGCGGGCTGGCTGGAGAGAGTGGGATTGTGAAACCCCAGTCACGTAGGACTCGTTGTTTACGCTGAGATGAACTATATGTTGGTGTCCTCCGGTAAAACCTGCTGGAAGTGCGAACACTCGACGCGCTCAGGAGTTCTGTTTGCGTCTGCGGGTGTAACAAACGGTGCGTAGCTCAGGGACTCATGGATGTAGGGGTCTAAATCTACTGGATTCCTTTCACAGCTGAAGAGTGAATCAAACAAGAGATCGGCCGAGGAGGGCTTCAAGTCTTCAGGAATGACTTGGTCTGGTTTGGTGTAGCTCTGGTTGAGGAGATGTGTCGGGAAAGCTTGAGTTGGTGCTGGTTTGGGGTCCAGGTGTGTTCCAGTGCCGTCGGTCTTGGTTTCGGCCTCATTGTCGTCATGTGGAACAGTGTGGTAGGTTAATACCTGAACTGGGACGTAGTCTTTCCCAGCATAATCCTGATAGCTTGTAGCTTGACCGATTGAGATGATGGAGCTCATGGTGGACGTAAGTTTATGCTGTTGAACATAGAAGAGTTGCTGTAGTTTGAATATATATATTATTCAGGGCTGTGCAAAAATCCAAAATAAAAGTCTGTGTTTACATAATATACTTGTGTGTGCTGTATATCATTATTTTGTGTATATATAAATAAATACACACACATGCATGTATATATTTAAGAAAATGTGTTATTCATATATAAAATATTTATATTTATATAATATAGATTATGTATTTATATATATATATATATATATACAGAATTTAAGCACAAATAATTCTTAAATATATACATGCATGCATAGGTATTTATATATACAAAATAATTATATACAGCACACACAAATATATTATGTAAACACAGACTTTTATTTTGGATGCGATTAATCGCAATTAATTTTTGCACAGTCCTAATATATATATGTGTGTGTGTGTGTGTGTGTGTGTGTGTGTGTGTGTGTGTGTAAAAGTTTCTTATATTGCTTACCAAGGCTGTGTTTATTTGATCAAAAATACAATAAAAATAATAATATGGTGGAAATATAATTACAGATTAAAAAAACTGTTTTAATTCATTACTTTTTATTTCTAATATGCTTTTTACTATTAATTAACTTCCTTACTTATTTCAAACTCCAAACTAATTGTATATATATATATATGAAGAGTTCAGATGCAAAAGCCTCTAAATGCCATTTGAAATTTTCTTCTTTAATGATGATTTTTATCAAACTTGTATATTTAAGTTCAGTAATTTCACTTAAATGGCAATGATAATTACCTATTAATTGTTATTTAAGTGAAATTATTGAACTTAAATATACAAGTTTGATAAAAATCATCATTAAAGAAGAAAATTTCAAATGGCATTTAGAGGCTTTTGCATCTGAACTCTTCATATATATATATATATATATATATATATATATATATATATATATATATATATATATATATATATATATCATATATTCTGATCCCAAGTTGTATTTACCAGGATTTCACTTCATTCATATTTCATGTTGTGGATGATTTTTCTCTGACACTGTTGTCGGAGTACACCAACTTTTGACAAAAATTTATTAAAAATTAGGGCTGTCAAACGATTAACCGCGATTAATCGCATCCAAAATAAAAGTTTGTGTTTACATAATATATGTGGGTGCACGGTGTATAATTATTTTATATATATAAATACACACACATGCTTGTATATATTTAAGAAATGTTTTCATGTATATACTGTATCTAGATTTATATATAATTTATATTATATGTAAATATAAATATTTTATTTATAAATAACCCACATATATTATGTAACCACAAACTTTTATTTTGGATGCGTTTAATCGCGATTAATCGTTTTATAGTCCTATTAAAAATTGTTAGTATTAGTGGAAACTGAGTACTGTATACAAAAATTATTTCCATCCTTAACATTTTTTGTTATATGTTTTCCAGTAAAAATATCTAAATATACTACATGTTTTATACGGAAGTGTTTTGCATTCACATTTGAATAGACAAAATCTACTCTGTTTTTCTGAAATAACGAGTTAATAATCTCAGAATTATGAGATCATTTTTCATGGAAAAAAAGTTTTTGGTCTGTTTTTCTGAAAAGTTTTTGAGATAATCAGAAAAACAGAGCAAAACATTTTTTCCATGAAAAATGATCTCATAATTCTGAGAAAATTAAAGTGAATGCAATAGGCTTCCGTATTTTTAGGCCACATCTTTGGACGTTTATATTGGGAATATGCATAGCAAGAGATACAATTAATCCGCCCAAAAATTATTTGAATATATAGAATATATTATATAGAATATATTATCATTATTCTTTAAGTTTAAGAAAATATTGATACCAAGAGGTGTATATATTTCCTCCTATAAGCATGCTGAATAACTATAACTAGGGTTGTGTTTACCTGACATGGTTTAGTGTTGGACCAGACGGACAGGCTGCTTTTTGAGGGGTCTGGTACGGTCGGACACAGACACTGTTTAATCCTAAAAAAAAACAAAAACATAAATACAGAGACAATAAGTACTGCATGCTAGTATGTTATCATATTAAATAAACACTGACACACACTGCACTGCAAAGTGTAAATATTGGACCATGTTTAATAATGCTCTCCTTGAAGGGATAGATTTGATAACTGAATCATGATTTATTTATAAATAATCTTACCTCACTCTCAAGCATAATGGGATTATTAGTATCAGAAAGCTCAGTAGTAGTGAGCATAGCAGTATGGGGATCACTTGTATATCCTCAAGGCCTTTGGACACACACACACACACACAGACAGGTTTAAAGATAACATTGTGTTTATGCAGGCATGCATGAATATATCAAATGGTGTCATCCTTACCCACAGCCACCATGTGCCACGGCCCAGCGGCGCCCCCTACTGCAGTGTGAGCCATTACACAGATGTTATATGTTCCTGCTGTTAGTCCACTCAGAGATATCTGCTCAGCACGAGTGTAAACCTTCTCACCTTCAAATAGACACAAACTCAAAAATAAAAGCTCTGTTCTGAAATATAGCTTTCAATATTTTCCAAAAAAAAAAGGTGTGCGTCTTACTTATGCCATTTATACTGTACAGAACAGTGTAATGCTGAATGAAGCCATGAAGTTTCTCAATAGGAACAGGTTCCCATTTCAGAACAACGCCGCTGCTGCTCGTCTTCAGCACTGTCATCTTTGGGCCGACAGAGGGCGCTGATACACAGGAACACATCAGTAAAGCATTTTGTTTACACTTACAGACTTACTTTAACTACATAAGCAGACACTGTTCATTGTGTTCATCCTGATATTTAAATACCGGTATTGCTATGAGCTGGACGGATGAGTAGAGTAGTCAAATGCAATGCAAATTCATGAGTAGCTGCACTGATTTTTTATTATCAATATTAATATACTGCGTAGCTGTCAATGGAGATGCATAAAAACTCTCAGATTTCACTTAATTTGTGTTCCAAAGGTTAATGAAAGTTTAAAGTAAAAAACTTAAAGTTAAAATTTTAATAATCCTATAGGTGAGTTATGTATATAATATATACACTTTTATATACATAAATCTTCCGCAACACATGTAATGGCTTTTCATCTAAATAGTAATACAATTATGCATTTGGACTTTTGACTCAAAACCTTACAGTTAAATAATCATATAGGTGAGTTATGTATATAATATATAATATACTTGCATATTTAATATATAATGATATAATAATATTAGGGCTGTGCAAAAATTAATTGCGATTAATCGCATCCAAAATAAAAGTCTGTGTTTACATAATATATTTGTGTGTGCTGTATATAATTATTTTGTATATATAAACACCTATGCATGCATGTATATATTCAAGAATTATTTGCGCTTAAATTCTGTATTTATATATAAATACATAATCTATATTATATAAATATAAATATTTTATATATGAATAACACATTTTCTTAAATATATACATGCATGTGTGTGTATTTATATATACAAAATAATTATATACAGCACACACAAGTATATTATGTAAACACAAACTTTTATTTTGGATGCGATTAATCGCAATTAATTTTTGCACAGCCCTGAATAATATATATATATATATATATATACATTCTTCCACAACACATGTAATGGCTTTTCATCTAAATAGAAATACAATTATGTATTTGGACTTTTGACTCAAAACCTTACAGTTCAACATCCCACTAGCCCTGTTCTTCTCTAAAGTTCAATAACATCTGACCTCCTTCCTGTGTGAAGGCAATGACAGACTTGTCACTTCCTGCTCGTCGCCCATACAGGCTCACGACTGACAGATTATATGGGACTTCTGGCAGAAGACCTAAAACACACACACAGACGTGGACTAAAACCATACTGTTCGAGTTATTTGATTAAACTATGATTATGAGTGGTAAAAAACGACAGTATGTTAGGGTGACCATATTTTGATTACCAAAAACCAGGACACTCGGCCCGGCAAACAGATAAGCCTACTCACATGATACTCGAAGTTTACTCAAAGATACATTATTAATTTCAATACATTTAAAGTAGGTTATGCCTCCTCTGTATGGATAGAAAATTGATATATTGTTATTTGAAAACAGGACTTGTCCTGGGAAAACAGGACAGTTGGTCACCCTACAATATGTTTTTTTCAGGACGAAATAGAAGGAAAACTTAGTACTTCTTATGAAAGATGAATATGAAATGAAGTCTATGAACTTTAATAATGAACTTGTGATCCACACCAACAGGCCCCTGTCATATCGACCAGCAAAAACAAACAAAAAATGACTTAGTGCGCATTCTATAGGAGTATAAGTGATTGATCAGACCTGTGAGATTAAAACTTCTTGCAGTTTTATTCATATGTTCCCAGTGCAGACTAGCTGGTCCACTGTGAGGCACAGAACTCCACTGCAGCACAAAGCCGCTCTCTGATTGGTTCAGTGCAGCTGTCCATTCCACCTTCAGACGAGTGCCGTCCAATGGGGTGACGCTGAAATTCTGAGGGGGAGGGAGTTCTTCCGGGGCAGGAAATGGGAGATAAATTTGGGATTAATGAACGTAAGGTTTCTTATAATGATGTTTTGTTTTATGAATGCTTGTGCAGAACTTCCCATCTAATCGTCACTATTTCATTAGACGTCCACAAGGAAGTTGCTTTGAGATTTTTGCAGGATGTCATGATGATAAAAGAAAGCAACCGTTTTTTTAGTTGTTGTTTTTTTTTTTTTTTATTAAAATATTCAATGAAAAAAAGTTTGTATATTAAATAAAAATTGCGGTGCCTATTTTTTTTTAAACAAATCAGAGAATGAAATACTTTAAAAAAAAGAAAGCTGCGTATTCTCATTTGATTATTTTCTCTTTTTATTTTTAATTTGAGTTAAATGCAAAAGACTCAAAACAATCAAACTTATCTTTTCTACTTAATATGATATAATATAACATTTATAACACATTGTTCACTTTGACTCTCCTGTTTGAACTCGTTCATCAAAATGAACGAATCTTTTTCCAAGTCATTGGTTCATTCAACAAACGAAACAAACAAATTGACTCAGAAAAAGATTCGTTCATTTTGATGAACAGGAGAGTCACGAACGCGCATCACAGAACAGAGCAAGGCGACCATTTGAGCTTATAAAACTTAAACTTTGTTATTTATTTTTTAAATGAGCGATCGTTTCGCTTGATAAGACCCTTATTCGTCGTCTGGAATCGTTTAAAGCGCTTTGAACAGTTTGCAGTTTGCACTGAAAGTGTCTTTTGGACCTAGAACCATTTTGGTTCCCATTGACGTCCATTATATGGAGAAAAATCCTGGAATGTTTTCATCAAAAACCTTAATTTCTTTTCGACTGAAGAAAGAAAGACGTGGACATCTTGGATGACATGGGGGTGAGTAAATTATCAGCAAAAGTTTTTTGATAAGTGAACTAATCCTTTAACCAAATATGATATATGTACATCTGTGATGCACATTAAGTAGAAACGTATGGTTGCAAACTATCAACCATAAATAACCACCGGTTTGGACCAGCTAGAAACCATGTAAACCAGTCCAGTGGTGCATTTTCCAACACATCAATTCCACTGAAGCATCACATCAGTGATTTACCTGCATCTGTGTCCGCGGGTATGTAGATATGAGCTGGAGGTGACGTCCCGGCAGAGTTGGTAGCCGTCAGTTTGCAGTGACAGGGATCGGTTGAGACGGCGAGGACGCAGGAGCTTCTGGATGCGTTTAATGCGCCGCAGGTCCACTGAGATGAATCCAGCTCACTGTGACAGGACACTGAGTAACTCAGCACAACACCATTGATCTCAGGCCAGGAGACAGGCTGAAACACACACAGATGTTAATTATTATGAATAATTAGTCATGCTTTAAATCAGGTCATTGGAGTAAGATGCACATGCAGGCAGATAGTGTAGTTACAAGATCTACCAGCAGGGGCTGAAAGGGTCATGAAAAGCAGATAAACACTGACCCCTTCATCACAGCCGCAGCTGCAGAGCAAGTATAGAAAGTATAATGCTTTAAAAACACAAATTTTATTTATTTATTATAAATGTTATATCACTGTCTTTGATAAAGTTTTGTCTATCCATTTATGGTGTTTTTCTTTATTTTGGGTTTTTTTTTATTTTATTTTTTTTATTAAAAAAGTACCATATTTTCTATGTAAATTATGCTTATTTTTTATGTTTTATTTATACATTTTTTTAACTACATTAAAATATCATTCCCATAAGTTCTTAGAGATAAAACCTAAAGATGAAGTGACTTTGCTGACTGGGGTGCTCTAAATTACAGTTTTTCCCATTCATTTCTATGGGTGCCCATTTTTGACCCAAATACAAGAGTTTTTCTCACCCACTTAACATTGTAAAATTGAGTCAAAAACAAATTGTGTGTGTTCAGGAGGCAAACTTAGGAAAAGTAGCCAAGGGAAGTATTTTTTTTTTTTTAAATAAATCAAAACTATTTTGCCCACATTTGTCCAGAATACGGTTTTAGGGTTAAATTAAATTAATTATGAAAGATTATAAATGCCTTTATAATGCATTACACATAAAGACTTTGTTAAGTCTCACCAACATTTTAAATGAAAGCCCTGAAACATAATTTTGTTAAATTATATTAAACTTTTTCCAGTTTGAAAATCCCTGATTTAGATAATAAGGATTTACTTAGTTTATCAGAAGAGATTTAGTCATGCTTTAGTTCATCCACACTAAATGACTATAAAGCAGTGAAAATGACAAACATGTAAAGGATGCATGGCACACTTCTGTCTTTAATTAGCACTGGGTTCTGTGTTCATTTCCTGTTTCAAATGTTCCTCTGCGACAGAATGAGGCGTTTCACCCCACACCAGATCATATTAATCACAGCATCTGTGAGCCTGGAGTCATTCTGACTAAGGTTATTATCCTTCCAATTGTTATTGCAAACAGTGAAAGACGAGAGACAAAACAGCGTATTAAAACCTATTAAGTTGAACTGAGGCTTCAATAACTATCATTTCATAAAACTCAACAAGTAAATGTGGGTACGGACATGTCAGGGACTAGATTTTGTTGTCGATGATGATACTTTACATTGGACCCCATTGACTTTCAATGTATGTTCAAAAAGACATTTGTTCAACCCATTTGGCATTTGTTGATATGTTCAAATTAACATTTTGTGTCAAACAGTCATACCGTTGTCATTTTTAACAGGATTATCAATTATCTCTTTTAAAAAGTTAGTAGAGATTCAATACTCTACAGATTGTCTAATCACTAAATCAGGTGCTACATTCAGCCATACCAGGCCAGGATGTGGTCGTGCTGTTTGTCAGATTTAAGCTGACAGGAAAATGTGAAAGAGTGTTGTTAAAAAGGGAAATGCATTGAGCCATAAGCAAAGTAAATGAGTATAAACGAGTCTTTTATTTCAGTCGCTGATCTGATCTCTATATTTATGCTGTTGATTTGTTTTTGTCAATATATTAAATATTAATGATCAAAACATTTTCCAATAAATACATCCAGAATGGTCAAATTAGGCCTTTTTAACATCTCAAATGCCTCTCGATGATATTTAATATAGTTTCCCCTGCGAAAAAAAAAAGTCCCCAGTGATTTGAAATGGCTCAGATTGTGCCAAGATAAAGTCCGCAATCAAAGTAAGATATCTCAATAACGTCGTGCTGTACGTCAACAGACTCGTTTGGGTCTGTTTTTAATTGTCATTTCAAAGAATTACAGATGAATCAACTTTAAAAAAGTTCATGCAAAATAACTGAGAACTACAACAATGCTGTATTAAAGGAGGGGCCTGTTTTTCTGTGGGCTCGGTGCTTTAGCTGCCTTTCGCAATCATCCTTTGAATCACACCCTCATCATGTATATTTGAAAACAGATTTCTATAGAACAAAAGCAAACCTTCCAGAGCAGGGTGAGGCGTCTCTTTCCAGCTTCTTCTGCAGGTTGGATGTGTCTCCAGAACCGAGGAGCCGCAGACGGGGCTGAGGAAAGATCAATCCTGTAACTCATATTCATCATATTACCACATTTAAAGGTGCAATATGTATTTTTTAGCGGCCTCTATCGGTGATGTTTCAGATTGCGACCAGAACGCGCTCATGGTACACGGCCACACTGAGACTTTCAACACACCGGAGAAAGCATCACACAACATGCTGGAAACCATGTAAACTCCCACTGCAACAATACAATAATAGGCTATTTTAATCAGCTTGACTGAACTAATGCTCCACGCTCGTACCATGATAACGTTACATTTGTGTGTTATCTAGCATAAGACATTTCACTAACTATTCGTGAATCTTTCACAATCAGCAATGTCAACATATGTGAATGTATAATATGATACCAAAAAACGGTAAGACGGAACAATTTCAGTGCAACAGTAAGATCGTAGGAAGTAACATTACTGTAGTGAACAAGTCTGGAAGTGTGTATTATAGACAATATGATAGTAGTGGGATGAGTGATGTTAGACAGTAGATCTAGAACATAAAATAAAAGTGAAATCCTAAAGCACCGACTTTTTGTTATCCTGGAACAGTCTTTTGTGTTCATTTCATGTCTCATAGAGTTTACCATTATTCATTTTAGCATATCTGAAAACTTAAACAATAAAAATAGAGGAGGTCTCCATAATTCAAACGCTCTGCCGATGTTGATCCGTGTTTTCGTCGATTCACGTTTGCTTCAGCAGATAAAGTTTTGTGTGGTAAATAGGGCTGGGTATCGATTCACATTTCAATTTCGATTCGATTTCGATTCACAAGCTCTCAGTTCGATTCGATTTCGATTCTCGATTCAATTTTCGATTTCGATTCCTGATTTGATTCTCGATTCGACTATAATGAAGATGTAATATAAATCCCATATTTATAAAAAAGAACAGTGGACATAAGTTTACTAGTGGTTAATTAATACAAGGAAATTAAGAGCCATAAACCTGTATATAAAACTCTTTTTATTTTAGGTACACTAAATGCATACAGAGAATAAACAGGATTTTGATGCAATATGCAAAAAAAGTCAGAACAGTCGCACAGCTTGATCAAACAGTATCATGTTATTTTATGTTTAAGATAGATATAGATAAATAAATATATAAATATTTAGACTTTTTTTTTTTTTTTACATTGATCTTACCTAAATGGTAATGTAATTTTTTGTTTATTTTTGTTTTAAGAGTTTATGTATGGAAGCTTGATTTCAATCTTTGAATTAAATTGAAAAAAGTAGCACAAATAGATACAATAGAATAAAGACACAAATTAAGAGACATTTTGGGGTAGTTTTTTGGGTATGTCAGAAATACTACAGAAACTGAATAAAGTAATCCAATGTAAATTAACACTGGATAGTCTTTTTAGTCCATACAAAGGCTATTAATTCTGATTGCTTACAATTAATACTATATTCTGTTGTTATGACAACAGAATTAATGACTGACACAAATGGCTGCGTTCACTTTAAGAACTAGTGCGCGAATCCATTACTGTTTCATTAACTTTCTGTCACACACGTTTAATGCTAATTTAAGACATTACCGACTGTCTTACTCACCAAGACCAGAGTTTTGACATAATGTCGCGTGTTTTAACTGTTAAAGTGATATAATCCAGGGATAAAACTTTTGTTTCTGGCGAGCTGTTTGTGAGGCAGATTTAGGCTGTAACGTTACTGTGCACGCAGTGAAAGACATCTCTGAGAGTGCGCGAGCACGGGATGGTTTAACATTGCTTGTAAAACTCAAAAAGACGTGAAAATGATAAACGTTAGTTACGATCATAGGTTACGATGCAATGCTGGCCCGATTGTTAAGTGAATATTCCGTCATGTCCCGACTCCTAAACGCGTGTGTGTATCGACAGCTGCAACGCTTGCCGCTTGCCTAGTGCAGAGAGACGAGAAAATGCAGCACCGCGTCCGCGAGCCCTTTATATGGAAAAAATCGATTCCGGCCGTTGAGAATCGATTTTGAATCGAACACATTTTAAAAAACGATTAATCGAAAAATAGATTTTTTTGCCCAGCCCTAGTGGTAAAAAAAAAAAAAATGACCAAAGTGTTTCGATATTTTTCCTATTTAAAACTTGACTCTTCAGTAGTTTCATCGTGGACTAAGACCGATGGAAAATATCGAAAGACTTTGGTCATTTTTTTTCTTTTTTGGGAAATGCTAATGGTCTTGTGCACTTCAATGATGTATGCTAAGCTATGCTAAAAGTGGTGCCGCCAGAACTGGAGATCGGCTGAATGGATTCAAAAACGGTAAAACTCAACAGCTTAACTCTGGGGGAGTTGTAAAATGAGCCTATTTCCAAACAAAGTGGAGAAATTTGTAGTGTAGTTTGTTTATAGCCTACGTCTAGCTACTTCTGCCGATTGAATTTAGGCTTCAGAATTAATTTGTCAAGAGTATCATGATGAACAAAACATGTAAGAATCATAACCTTTCTCTTATTTTAAACAATCATCCAAAAGCCAATGGAAAAATCCAATTGACCTATGGCTAAGCCGCGCCCTCAAACGCGATGAGCCAATCACAGTGCGCAGCTAACCCAATGCACTCGGACATTCTCTGCTTCCACTTCCATTGAAATGCATTGCAGTAAGTCAGTGTTCATTCGTTTTTTGTGATTTTGTGATTTTAAGTTTAAAATGGTCAAACAGGGTACATATAACTCCGACACTAGGTTCCCGAGAGGCTGGGCGACGGTGTGTATTTTTAACCCTTTCCCAAACCACATCTCAACCGAGATAACTGTCTGCTCTGGATTAAGTTATGCGGTAGACACAACACCAACTAAACGCGGATAAATTAAACGAGGATGTCGACATCTGCTCTAAGTTAAGTCAACAACGTATTTGAACGTTATATTTAAAATCTCTAACGTAACGTTAGTCTAAAGTTAGACGTAAATTAGAAAACATTAACGTTAGCTTCTAGCTGCGTTGCACATCACGTCACTTAGCTTCATTAACGTATATCTGTGAATAACCGAGATAACGAATGTTAACAATGTTGTGCTAAATGATTCGTGTAAATACTGTAGCACCAAACGGCGATGGCAACGATATGTGTTTTATCACGTTTACACTGTGACCTGTACATCTCTGCCTGGAGCTGAAGCTTTTCATCGACCTTCTCAACAATAAAATTATTAATATAACCCTCCAATGCATAGTTAATGACCTTTAGGTGACTTCGAGATGATATATAATCTTTCTGTCTCCAAAAATCACCAATTGCCTCCTGTGAAATGTCTCTTACTGTGACGGCTGCCATAGCGCCCGTGCCGTGTTTGTCCGAGTGAGTGGAGGGGGCGTGGCTTAGCCATTGGTCAATTGGGTCTCTGTTGTGGGACCAGTTGTGCTAACTTCTGGGTTGGCCTACAGAAATACGTCATCCCTGCCGCGCTCTCTGTCAGACCCATCTGAGTTTTACCTTTCTCCGCTGTGGTGATATCTTCAGAGGTCCATGAGCTCCAGTGGGCGGATGCTCGATCGTCCTGAGCTCTCAGTCTCACCGTGTACTTGGATCCAGGGTGTAAGTCACAGAGCTCCAGTGTCTCATTGGAAAACGCTGGTATAGTCTGTGATCGAGTCTACATGATCATGGGAGAGAGTTTCAATAACCGACAAATAATATTTTGTGTATTCAAATAACATTTTTTTTAACCTTTTTGAAAAAGAGGCACACTTTAGCATACTTTTAAAGGCCAATCCGCAATTATGTCACTTCTCAGACAATTCTCACACACAAAAAAGAGCTTCGTGCCCTGGATGTGCATCCTATCAATATGGGCCAACATTTCTAAACCTTGTTCAAATCAATGCCACGTAGAATTAAAGGGTTAGTTCACCCAAAAATCATTAATTACTCACCCCCATGCTGTTCCAACCCCGTAAGACCTTCGTTCATCTTCGGAACACAAATAAAGATATTTTTGATTGAATCTGAGAGCTGGATCAGTCCTACATAGACTGACTGGCTCTTGACGGCCAATAGAAAAGGTTTAAATATTCCATGTGCCTACAGCGGCTCAATTATAAGTTTATCAAGCGACGAGACTACTTTTTGTGCGAAAAAAACATAAATAACGACTTTATTCCACTATTCCATTACTTCCTTATGGGCGCATGCGCGAGAACTGAGACGAGGACGTTCTCATTCGTCTACTTCTTGTTACCGGCTGCTCACCGCTTAGGAGTTTTACCGCCCCCTACCGTATAAGATGATGTGCTGATATAGCTGGAAGCGCAAAACTTTCTGTTTACAAGATGAGGAAGATGCGCGCTGTACATACGCTTTTCAATTTGCGTATTTTCCGCACTATAAGGTGCACTTAAAAGCCTTTAATCTACTCAAAAAACGACAGTGTTCCTTATAATCCGGAGCGCCTTATATATGGATCATCATTTTATACGGTAGGTGGCGGTAAAACTCCTAAGCGGTGAGCAGCCGGTAACAAGAAGTAGACGAAGGAGAACGTCCTCGTCTTAGTTCTCGCGCATGCGCCTATAAGGAAGTAATGGAATAGTAGGGCTGGGTAATAAATATCGATTTCTCGATATTAATCGATTCTCATTTTTACCAACCGATATCGATTCTTAAATCTCAAGAATCGATTAGTCATCCTGTTTCATTTGAATGAATGAGACATTGTATCGCGGCTGCGCACATCCAACAAATCGCACTAATCTTTGTCCTGCTTTGTTACTATTGATATGAAACAAAGTCTCAATTTTCAAATTACGTCCATTTTCTTTAGAAATTCAAAAACATAATTAGCGTTTTGCCGTTTTGGCGCTGTGGCGTGAGATCGCTCTGGAGAAGCAGCAGCGCTGATCTCTCTTCCGGCTTAATAATACCAGCTACAGCGCCAAATAAACATGAATGAGCGTCTGAAAGTGTGTTAAAAGATCAAGTACAATTTATCTAAATCCGTATCATGTCACATTGATTCGCTCAATCTGCGTTTCAACCGTGGAAAGACGTCAATTAAACAGCTTGTAATCAATGTCATGTATCGTCATATTTACCTCAGAAAACCCACATAAACTCGTTAGTCCACACTCGTTAGTGTTCTTCAATATTTAATGCATATTTGTATAAATCTGGCAAGTTTTTATGACAGCCACCATTTAAATGTTTATATTTCATATAATCTTCTTATTATAAAAATAAATAAAAGTGTAATTTAAGTGTTTGTATAGCTACAAAACAGTTATTACCTTCATATTAATGAAGCCTAGTAGGCTACAACTAGACTATGTATATAGACCATAGTTTACAGCATTTAAGAGATTTGATTCCCTTGAGAAAAATTGCCATTTATTGTAACTGATATCCAAAATAATCGATATTGAATCGAATCGAATCGTAATCGAAATCGAATCGAATTGCAAGCTTGTGAATCGAAATCGAATCGAATTGTGAAATTTGTCTCAATACCCAGCCCTATGGAATAGTGGAATAAAGTCGTTATTTATGTTTTTTTCGCACAAAAAGTAGTCTCGTCGCTTGATAAACTTATAATTGAGCCGCTCTAGGCACATGGAATATTTAAACCTTTTCTTTAATGACTTTATGGGCCGTCAAGAGCCAGTCCCTTAGGCAGTCAATGTAGGACTGATCCAGCTCTCAGATTCAATCAAAAATATCTTTATTTGTGTCCCGAAGATGAACGAAGGTCTTACGGGGTTGGTACAGCATGGGGGTGAGTAATTTATGACTTAATTTTCATTTTTGGGTGAACTAACCCTTTAAGGCAGTACTGAAGGCGAAAGGGGGTCAAAAACAGTATTAGTATGGGGTTCCTGAGTGTATAAACCTGGTCATGTGTCGTGAACTCCACTTGGAGTCGTATGTGTATTTCCTCATCCTTGATGAAGCTCTCAGTCATTCCCCAGACCACATGCAAACATCCAGCTGATGGCTTGAGATGTGTAATCTGTGGGGGAGGAAGTTTCACTGCAATAGAGAGAGAAAACATAGTAAAGAAAAAACTCTTTTAACAGGTTATTGGTCAGAAATGCCCTTGGCACTGAACACAGGTGCAAAGAATGATGAACACTGACTGTAAACATCATAATTGATGGAAATGAGTCATTTGCATAATGACATTTGTTGAGACATGTGTCACTATCGTATGAAAGGAATAAACAATGCGTGCATGTGTGCTTTTGTTCTCTTGACTTTATTCATGGCTTGTTGTTGGCGTTGTCACGACCAACCTTGACCTGTTACAATGGCAGAATTGAATATTAGCATACTGCTAAAAAATTGTGTGGATGACTGGATACGGATAATTAACATGAGTAGTTCACTTTTGAAAAAACTTTTGCTGATAATTTACTCACCCCCATGTCATCCAAGATGTCCATGTCTTTCTTTCCTCAGTCGAAAAGAAATTAAGGTTTTTGATGAAAACATTCCAGGATTTTTCTCCATATAATGGACTTCAATGGGGTCCAAACGGTTCAAGGTCCAAATGAGAGTTTCAGATGCAGCTTCAAATGTCTTTAAACGATATCAGACGATGAATAAGGGTCTTATCATGCGAAACGATCGGTTATTTCAAAGCTTCTTCCAAAAATGTAACTTTTCTAAGGACAAATGCTAGCCTTGCTATATTCTGTGAGGCGCGTTTGTAACGTCGCGTAATACATAATTACGTTTAAAAGGTCACGGGCGACGTAGCCAGAAGTACAGTCAGAGTGTTTACAAGTTGAACGCATAGGTTGAACGTGCAAACCAACTCAAACGCCGTTTACAAAAAAAGGAATTAAAAGGAAAAACAACGATGTCGGACGATTTTGATTCTGTACTTCCGGCTACGTCGCCCGTGACCTTTTGAACGTAATTACGTATTACGTGACGTTACAAACGCGCCTCAGAGAATAGAGCAAGGCTAGCATTTGTCCTTAGAAAAGTTACATTTTTGGAATACGTTTTGAAATAAACGATCTTTTCGCATGATAAGACCCTTATTCATCGTCTGGTGTCGTTTAAAGACATTTGAAGCTGCACTGAAACTCTCATTTGGACCTTGAACCGTTTGGTTCCCATTGAAGTCCATTATATGGAGAAAAATCCTGGAATGTTTTCATCAAAAACCTTAATTTCTTTTCGACTGAAGAAAGAAAGACATGGACATCTTGGATGACATGGGGGTGAGTAAATTATCAGCAAAAGTTTTTTCAAAAGTGAACTAATCCTTTAACATTCTAGATATGTAGAATATATACACTACCGTTGAAAAGTTTGGAATCGTTAAAGCTGCACTTATTTGATTCAAAATACAGTAAAAACACGATATTGTGAAATATTATTAAATGTAAAAATATCTGTTTTCTATTTGAATATGCAATTTATTCCTGCGATGGCAAAATTGTGCTTCTTTCCAATTCTGTGGAAAATTTTTCTGTGGATTTTTGATGAACAGAACGATTAGCATTTATTTGAAACTGATTTTTTGTGTGTAATATTACAAATGTCTTTATTGTCACTTTTGATGAGTTCAATGCATCCTTGCTGAAAAGTGTTAATTTCCTACTGACTCCAATCTTTTCACCAGTAGTGTAGGTTTTCTGGGTAAGTTATTAGGCACAATATGAAGAGTTCAGATGCAAAAGCCTCTAAATGCCATTTGAAATTTTCTTCTTTAATGGCGATTTTTATCAAACTTGTATATTTAAGTTCAGTAATTTCAATTAAATGGCAATGATAATTACCTATTAATTGTTATTTAAGTGAAATTACTGAACTTAAATATACAAGTTTGATAAAAATCATCATTAAAGAAGAAAATTTCAAATGGCATTTAGAGGCTTTTGCATCTGAACTCTTCATATACACCCTAAATAGTACAGTAAGACTTGTATAGTGGTATGCTATGTCCAAAGTGTTCATACCTCAACAGTCGGCACAGAGATTAATGTTGTTCAGTGAAGTGTTGTACCTGATTCAGAACCGTTGAAGAAGTACAGCGGTGAGCGCATGGATCCAGTGTTCGTGTACGCCAGCACGTCCGCACGGAAACAGTGTAACGCTGAAGTGCTGAGCTGGATGGAGCAGTTAGACCCTCTGGTTTCACAGACACCCACATTGTTGAAGATTTCTTTGCTTTCACAATGGGTTCTGTGGAGAATAACACAACAATATTCACACTTACATGCTTGCAAGTTAAGAGCCAACTGGGTACTGGTGGTTTAAAGGGGTCTTATGCTTTCTTTAGTGTGTAATGTTGCTGTTTGAGCATGAAATAGGTCTGCAAAGACACAAAGAACAGAGTCTCTCTAGTCTGAGTTATTCCCTGTCAGTGTTTCTGAACTCCCTGAAACGCCTCCATTGTAGTCTTGAGTTTTCTTCCAGGAGCGAACACACCTCAATATTCCTCATTTAAAGCTACACTGTGTAACTCTTTTAGTTTATTCTTAGCTAAAAACACTTAGTCCTTTCAAAAAAATGTGTGCTCATTAATGTATATTTAGTTCATTCAAGTAATAAAGTATTCTCGTGAGTGTTTAATATGCCATTGAAAATACATACGGGTAAGGGGTTCTAATGTCGGTCGCCATGTTGCCCCTCCATCTTGAAAGTACATTAGCCAAAGAGGGACATACCCCGCCCTTAATTCAAGCTTCGCCTTTCGCGTTTACGTTTCGCATGGACGACGTCGAACTGGAAGCCATGTTAATCTTGGACTACATTGGCCACCGTAGGAGTTCGAAATCGAAACTAATAATCACTGGATGGTCATATACCTTTTCACCGCTAGATGGGGGTAAAAATCACACAGTGTAGCTTTAAATAATTCCCGCCTCACGGCAAATGCAAAATAAAGGGGCGGAGCCTGTTTGAGTTGCAGGTGGCATTTCCGAAACAGGCTCAATCACAACTCACTCATGCAGCCGACCAATCAGAGCACAGTGTGCTTTTCAGAAGGAGGGGCTGAACTGAACGTTACTGACAGACTGGGAAAGAGGTCCCGCAAAGTTTAAAATATGTGTTTTTGAAAATTCAATCATGAAAACCTATTCTAGTAGAGCGCGAAACAAAATCAACACTTTGTAAAACTGCATCATAGATCCTTTAAAAAAAAATCAAAACATTGATCTGAAGAACCTGTAATGAAACACCAACGTGTTTCATCTATATAGCAAGTAAAGAAAACGTTCAAAACATTGCAATGAGTAAATGTGAAAACAGAACTTAAACCGATTGTTTCATTTATCGTTTTTCTATCCACTCAACACGACCTTAACCACGATCATTAACCACTTTCAATTCAAGATATCCAGTTTGTAAAGCCCCTAAATTAATTTCGAAAGAAAAAAACGAATTAAATGTGAAGGGACTTTTTAATGCAGGGATCTTCAACAAGTTTCATTAAACATCGATGATCTTAATGATCAGTTTCGATGACGGGCACAATTTGCAGAAGTGATGCCAATCAAAACCAGCAAGAACATGTGATAAAATATCTAAGTACTGTGGTGGTACTATCTATGGTATCAGATATTAAAGAGACACTTCACGCAAAAACAAACCTTAAGCGTTCCAAACTCTTCTGCTGAGCACAAAGGACGATCTTTTGACGAATGTTGTAAACCGAACCGAAGCCCCATTGACTTCCATAATATTTTATTCTATACTATTAAAGTAAATAGTGTCCATCAACTGTTTGGTTAGCCATATTCTTCAAAATATCTTCTTTTGTGTAGAGCAGAAGAAAGAAATCCATACAGGTTTGGAGTAAATGATGACAGGAATCAATGAATCATAGGATTGTCCCACAAGGCTTCTCCATAGCTTTACTTTTGTTAAATAAATAATGACACAATAATGATCCGTTGTTTACGGAAGCCCTGAACCGCAACCTAAAAAAAAAAAAAAAATCATTAAAAAAAAAAAAATCTGTAAAAAAAAAAAATCTGTAAAAAAAAAAAAAAATCTAGCATTTCGAGATTAAAGTCGAAATGTTTCGAGATTAAAGTCGGAATGTTTCGAGATTAAAGTCGGAATGTTTAGAGATTAAAGTCGAAATGTTTCGAGATTAAAGTCGAAACATTGTGCATTCATAACAGTGCGCGTCCACTGGCTCAGAGCGCGCGCGTGAAGTCGAACTGCCATGGATAAACCCAAAATAGTAGCTTTTTACTTTTATCTGGGCTTTCAACAAAATTCTACACACGTCACACGTGCTAGTGGCAGTGTTTCTGAGGTGTTTTCGTGCTCGTCTAGTCAACACTATCTGGGTCGAGAACACAACAGTAACTGTTCGGTCTCACTCTTCAACGTAAATACGCCCTGGATACATTTTAAGTGCATCATTCTGTATCCAATCATTTGGCCGGATCCTGTGATTTCCTAAGATTTAATGTAAAGCACTTTGAGTGTAGGCATATATGAAAGCGCTATATAAATGCCCTATTCATTCATTCATTCATTCATTCATTCATAAAGCTGGATTTCTCCATCCAGTCTGAAAAGTGTTTTCCGTGTTGGTTTTCCTATAGGCTAAAGTCTATTCCTGCGTATTATATTTTATAACGATAAAGTAAGATAAGTAATTCAGATAAAAGTAAAAAGCTACTATTTTGTGTTTATCCATGGCAGTTCGACTTCACACGCGCACTGTTATGAATGCACAATGTTTCGACTTTAATCTCGAAACATTTCGACTTTAATCTCGAAACATTTCGACTTTAATCTCGAAATGCTAGATTTTTTTTTCTTTTTTTTTACAGATTTTTTTTTTTTTTTTTTACTGACTTTTTTTTTTTTTAGGTTGCGGTTCAGGGCTTCCGTAGTTGTTGTATTTACCTCATTTTAAGATGATAAAAAGTGTACGTTACAGTCCATAAACATGCTAATACATTTTAGATGGTTTTGTTAGTGTGAAATGTCTTACTTGTTAATCTGCAGTCTGTATCTGCTGGCGTTCAGGTGGTGGTCGCTCGATTCCCAATAACAGGTGATGCTGATGTACTGCAGAATCACACACTGCGTGATGGACAGTGTCAAAGAAGCTGCTGCTGCTGAGAGAGTTAGTACATGTTTAATGATTTTTCTGAACACAAAAAAAGTGTCTTCGGGCTTATTGCGTAAAATAACAACGGATAAAACATGTGACATCTTGTAAATATCCTTGGAATATAAAAAAATATAAAAAAAATCTTTTTTAATATGTATTGAGCATGTGTGTAATTGGATCTTTTGGTTGAACGTTTATAGCTACTGGGATTGAGCCCTCAGTGTGACAACTAGCCCCGGACCACCCAATATAACTCATTTTGACACAAAATAGCAGGTGTGCAACAACAACATGCAGCCGGTGAGCATCAACCCCTGCAGCAGTGTGTGTGTGTGTGTGTGTGTGTGTGTGTGTGTGTGTGTGTGTGTGTGTGAATGAACTGAACTCAAAACAACCAGCCGTACGATCAGGTTTCAGATAAAGGGCAAGAAATAATCCAGTGCTGGGAATCACAAAGAAACTCTGAGCTGGAAACACACACTGAATGATGTCACAACACAACCACAAACATGTTGCATATATCTTCAGCGAATAAAAATGTAAAATACTGGTCTGTTCTTCATCAAAATTTGCGTATGACTAACAATAGTCATATGAACTACTGGTGTGGTGTTTTTCAGTCACTATCACTGTAAAAAAAAAAATATTTTCTAGGGCTGTGCAAAAGTTAATTGCGATTAATCGCATCCAAAATAAAAGTCTGTGTTTACATAATATATTTGTGTGTGCTGTATATAATTATTTTGTATATATAAATACCTATGCATGCATGTATATATTTAAGAATTATTTGCGCTTAAATTCTGTATATATTTATAAATACATAATCTATATTATATAAATATAAATATTTTATATATTAATAACATATTTTCTTAAATATATACATGCATGTGTGTGTATTTATATATACAAAATAATTATATACAGCACACACAAATATATTATGTAAACACAAGACTTTTATTTTGGATGCGATTAATCGCAATTAACTTTTGCACAGCCCTAATATTTTCATGATCACAACATCAACTTTAGATAATTTATGTAGTCCGATAACATAATATTTTGAGTTTCTGGTGATTAAATCAATCTCCTTCATTGTCTTAACTCAATTTTTCCATTTCAATGAACTTAAAATTTTAAGGCAACCAGGTTACTTACTTTAAGTTAAACCAACAATTTGTGTATATGAAAAGTCATTGTAAAAAAAAAAGCCATGTGACGATTCTACAGAAATTCTGTTGTTTTCTTCTGAAAAAAGAAAACTTAAAAAAAAAACTGGAAGAGCATGACACTGAATTGTTTGGGGTGCCTTATTCATTTACTTACACCTGACCCCTTGGGGCTGTCCCACCACGCTAACTGTGGTTAAACCAGCTGTTGGGTTAAGCTATATGGACCGAATATGTGCCTAAATTAAACAAACAAATCCAGCTGTTTGCAACCAAACTCGATATGCTTTGCAAAGGAAAACTTGACAACAAAAAAAAAATCGCAAACAAACTCGGAAAAGGAGCTTTTTTCGAGTTTTTCTTTGCAACGTAGATCGAGTTTGTTTGTTTGGTTAATTTTGGCACATAATTCACTCCATAACAACTAACTCGAGCACATCACAGATAGCCTACACGAACACTTTGACACACACGGCCAAGAAAGACGCTCATTTTAACTTAGAAGTACATAAACATGTAGCCTATCATTATAAAAACTAACCTGTGTCCAAGAACTTGTTCAGTACGTACATCCAAAGCAGGAGTCCAGCTTGAGAAGGCGCCCGTTGGCTCATTTCTGACGCGAAGACCGTCTGTGAAAGATAGATCTCGATATCTCAGCTGATGAGCCGACTGTGAATAGTTTCATAAATCAAGTAGAGACTCGATCAGAGACAAGCTCTTGCGCAATTCCCCACATTAAATCAGCACACTGTGTAAAAGCACTGGATGTATGGATTCAGAGAAGTGGCCAATACCTTTAGTAAAACAAAAGAGAAAATACAAATAATAAACAACTTATTATTATTATATTACTTTAAATATTCAAATACATAGGCATAAACGGAATAATAAGAATGAGTCGAATTACAAGATGAATGGATTCAGAAAAGTATATTTTTTTAGAGGCTAAAAAAATATAGGCTACACAAATAAACAAACAAATAATAAAATATAATATTTATTATTATTTAAAATGTGTAGATATATAAATACACACATACAAGCAATAATAATAATAAATAGTCCATGTTTGAATCTAGAAAAGTATATTTTTAGAAGGTAAATAGTATAAGCAAAACAAAACGTTAATATTTTCTAGTCGTTCAGTCAAAACAGATTCACATTTGGCAAGCATGAGAGCGCAAATGAAGCAACTTAAATGGCGGATTTCCTAAACAAAGCGAAAGCCTGAATAACCGCGTAAAGTCGCCATGAGCGCGAGTCTAACTTACCTGTCCTGGATGAAGATGATGAAGAAGATGAATCCAACATTTCCCGCCTGCGCTTTAAGTGTCCGGTGATGACGGTGTGATGTGTGTCGATGTCAGACGCTGATGTCACGCAGACACTCGTGTGGAGCGAGGTGTGTGTTGAGTGTTGCTACTGTAGGCTATCGTCATTAATATGGAGTTGGCTATATAGGCTGGATAAAGTCGTTCTGTATCGTAGCTGAGATATACACGTTAAAAAAAAATAAAACTTTTATTTTCATGTTTCTTATGCGGATAATACACTAGCTACGACAAAAATGAGTCTGATGAAATTTTAATAATGAATGATGACAATAATAATAAAACGTATATAAATATTGTATAGGCCTATAAAAATGTATTTCAACGATGCATCACACAATAATAAATAAAAATAAATCAAATAAAAAAGCACATTTAATTTGTTCATGGATGAAATAATACAATGATGCAAAATGGGGTCTGAATCTGATTAATAACATTTCATCTATCTATCTATCTATCTATCTATCTATCTATCTATCTATCTATCTATCTATCTATCTATCTATCTATCTATCTATCTATCTATCTATATAGGCCTATAGTTTATTTTTTCAGTGGTTATGCATCAAATATTCATTTCAAATAATAAATATAGGCCTACAATAAAAACAAACCTAAAATTTGAATGCAACGGTGTGATTAAGCTATAAGTTATGTTCATCTTTTTCTTCGAATGACTCACAAAGCCTTTTAAATAGCCTACACAAATGCTCATCACACACTGATTATTAAGAGAACGGAATATTTTATGCAATCATGTTTTTTTATGCAGCTTCTGATCATTTTGAACTTCATAACATTAGTGTGATTATATAGTTGTGGGAGTCTTTCTGTTAGAAAAGGCCATAATGGTTTAATATATTTGACAATTATAATGAAGAAAAAACTGCAACAGTTTAAGGAGTCTTAATTATGAAAAGAGAATTGATTGAAAATGGTCAAATCAAACCCTGCAACGACACAGCTGATGTTCAGAGGATATTTTAACAAGATCAGATGTGTTTCGAGCGGTTTATATAAGAGAGAGAGACAGAGAGAGAGAGAGAGAGAGAGAGAGAGAGAGAGAGAGAGAGAGAGAGAAAGGGGGCATGTTTGTTTTCAACTACATCAGATGGAAAACATTGATGTAAATTGCAAATCCCACTTAACACCACAACCTCAAAGCATTTGTGTGATCACTCACTCACTCACACACTCACTCAATCACACACACACATACACACACACACACACACACACTTAAGTGATGCTGGGGGAATATTTCTCAAATATAGACTGAACACACACACACACACACACACAAAGGTGCATTCGGTTATTATTAATAGTTGCCAGTGTTACAAATCCTTCCCATCCTTGAAAAATTCAAAAATGATGCATGTAATAATAGTGCAAAGCAAACATTTTAGATTTCTGAAAGAAAATCATATATTTCAAATGACCTGAATTTGCTGATTTTGAGAGATTCTTTCAGATATAAGAACTGAAAAACCGAAGTTTGGCTGCTTAATTGGAATTGGGAACAATGCAGAATATGAGAATTAAAGGCAAAATGACAAACAAAGAGCAACATCTTATAAAAAGCTGCTTCAAATAAAATGAGAATACGGAGATATTCATGCCGTAATGCTTATTTGAAGACTTGCATTTTGTTTTCTGCATGGCATGGCACTGTTAACTGTTTTTGCTATTTGTTTTTGTCACATGGAGTGATAAAAAAACAGTAAAACGTTAAATAAATGTGAAATATAAACCGTGTAAATAGAGATTACAGATTCAAATGAGAAATGTAGTTATGTAAAATCATTTTTGTGAAAGCCTGTCATAAACGGATGTTAAATAATGAATCCTGCTCAGAGGAAGCTCACATTTCCCCGGAGTGAATACGTAAATGGTGGTTTGTGGAACAGTCAGGAGAAATAACACAATTATTGCTCTTCAAACACAACATTACTTAGCAACTTTTAATATTACAGTGCGAAGCTGATGCAACTAAGAAATAAACGGGTTATGTTTGCAATAGCATGCTTTATAGTTTTCATAAATAAATAAGTGAAGCGATATGTATTGTGTGACAATAAACATTTCAAACTGTAAAAGAAAGATCATTAAAGTGCATTTTACAAGAAAATGCTTTTTTTTACTCAAAAATCATGTTTAATTCAATGTGTTATAATTATTTGTTTAAGTTACTAGAAATTAAATAGTAAAACATGATTTCATTATGTGCAAGCTTAATTCTGCAAGTCATGCCATCAAGAATTACATTAAAACAAAATTGCACATTTTGGCAGTTACAGAATATTTACTGCACACAGATGTATCAATTTACCTGGTTTTGAGTGTGTGATTACCTTCTGCCCCAGCCTGTCATCCCTGTACCTGTTTGGTTTTGATTTATTAGTAAATGTGTGAATCGGAGCCTGTTGACCCTGCCTCTCCTTCAGCCTGCACCCACTTTTGTCTCCATTTACCGTTACAAAAATGCACGTCATGAGTTCTTCATGTGAAGAGAAAAAAAGACTTCCCATGAAAACCTGGAACAGAAGTGATATCAATCACACACACGTTGTGGAAGCATTCATTTGACATTTTTCTGTGACATTTACTCACTCCCCTCTATCTCTAAAAAACAATCTTATGGAAGCACTAATGAGTCTCTCGTGAGTTCAGTTAAGATGACACAACATACTGTACGTCATTTGCTGTTTGCTGAATATAAAATAATTTCTTACTGTAAATGGATATTGCATATAACCGCCACATTTCCAATGATGCACGTGGGAGATATTAGCCTACACTAATGACTATTTTGAATGGAATAGAAAATGAAAAGATAATTGTGTGATTGTCAACACTGGTCGCTGTCTTTTGGATATGTGTCGTAGATATACACTATGTAAATGAAAGAACTGGAAAAGATGCATGTCTGCAGTTGATGCTGTGTGATTGATTACTTTGCACATGTTACACTCTTAGAAGAAAAGGTTCTAGAACCTTAAAGGGATAGTTCACCCAAAAATGAAAATTCTGTCAGTATTTACTCACCCTCATGTTGTTCCAACCCCGTAAGACCTTCGTTCATCTTTGGAACACAAATTAAGACATTTAAGATATTAAGATCGCTCCTGCATACAGTCCATAGGCTTCTTGAGGGACTGGCTCTTGCTGTCCTCGAAAAGTCATTAAAGACATCGTTAAAATAGTCCAAGTGACTACAGTGGCTCAATCTTAAGTTTATCAAACGACGAGAACACTTTTGTGCGCAAAAAAACAACAAAAATAACGACTTTATTTCAACTATTCGTTTATTTCTCCCTCTGCGCGAGTCAGGTTACTAGTTTAATAGCGTAAGCTTCTGTTATTGTACGTCACACGCATCACACACACATGACCAGCGTCGGCCAATAGTGAGCCTACGTGTGACGTAGCTCTACGCAATCACACTACGTTAACTGACTACAGGCTCATGGAGAAGGAAGTGAATAGTTGAAATAAAGTCGTTATTTTTGTTGTTTTTTTGCGCACAAAAGTGTTCTCGTCGTTTGATAAACTTAAGATTGAGCCCCTGTAGTCACTTGGACTATTTTAACGATGTCTTTAATGACTTTTCGGGGACAGCAAGAGCCAGTCCCTCAAGAAGTCTATGGACTGTATGCAGGAGCGATCTTAATATCTTAAATATCTTCATTTGTGTTCCGAAGATGAACGAAGGTCTTACGGGGTTGGAACAACATGAGGGTGAGTAAATACTGACAGAATTTTCATTTTTGGTTGAACTAACCCTTTAAAAGGTTCTATCAGCGCTACGTATTTGGAACCCCTAAAAGGTTCTATACACTGTTAAAAAAAGGGGTTCCTCTGGGTTCTATATAGAACCCTGCACTCTAAAATATGCTGGGTTGTTTTAACCCAACTTTGGGTCAAATATGGACTAACCCAGCCGTTGGGTTAAATTTTTACATTACATTTTTAACCCAACATTTCGGGTTTGTCCATATTTGACCCAAAATTGGGTTAAAACAACCCAGCATTTTTTAGAGTGTGGGGTTCCGTACTTGGCCAATAGAGCCTTTTACCAAAAAAAAAAAAAAAGGTTCTATATAGAACCATTTCGGAGTTCCATATATGAAGCGGGGGATGGAACCATTTCTGAATAGAACCATTTCTTCTAAGAGTGTAGGGATTTTGAGATTTTACAGGTGGATATTTCTGATCACTTTCCACTATTGTATAGCCTACTAGGGTTGCAGTAGGCTATACAATAGTGGATAGGGTTACCCTATATAGCAAATATGGTTGCTTTAAGGATTCAAATAAAGAATGACAGTCTTGCCGTGGATAAGATTTGAATAGGGAACTGATGGTGAGAGGCAATTTCTGCAAAGACCATCTTATTTTTCGAATGGAATTTTTTTGGGTAACATTTTTACCGCAGTGGAAGAAAATATGATTGATTTTGAAAATATGATATGATTTTGACAGACTGTTTATTTGAAGCAGGCAGATTCTGACTAATAAATGTACATCTAAACAACCAAGGTGGTGGGACGAAGATTATTCATCTCAGAAATGTGTAAAATACAATGCTTTAAATCAATTATGTGAGCAATTTGAACAGTTATGTCCTTGAGAGGACATTTTAAAAAAAACTTATGTATAGCAAGGTAACACAGTCTCATCCCAAAAAGTCATATAACTGACGTTTTGGGACGTATTTTGACCATACGTCAATATCCGCCTTTTTAGGGCCCCCTTAAACGTCGGTAGATGGCGATCCCGGGACGTCATACAACTGACGCTTTACCTTTAACGTCAGTTAGGTGACGGGTTAGGTTTAGGTCTGGGGTAGAGTTAGGATCCCATAACCTCATCTACCGACGTTTAAGGGGGCCCTAAAAAGGCGAATATTGACGTATGGTCAAAAGACGTCCCTAAACGTCAGTTATATGACGTCTTGGGATGAGACCGGGTTGAGCAAGGAAAAGCAGTATAACTCTGTTTTATGCAATGTCTTACAGAATAACATAAATGAATGTAAAAAAAAATTACAACAAAATAAACCATCACTGAACACATACTTGCTTGATTGACACTATTTCCTTCTAGATCTGCTGTACAGGAGAAGCAAACTTTGTTGCATTATTTTCCTGTTATTACTGTAAAGCTGCTTG